GATCAGCAATTCTATAAAAAGAAACGGTTACGTGGAAATAGAGTATCACGATGATACACACTTCGTTGAAGGGTGTATTGAAAGTGTACCGATAAGTACGAGGGGTTCAATGACACTTGGACTTGGATTCTTAATGAGTCACTTAATGAGTCACTCGTCACGGTGGAATCACAGTAGTAAAATTATCGGAGGTTAGGTTAAAAATCGTCGTGTCGGTAACGTATCCACCGAGTACCAACGGAATCGGCCAATGGCATTTCTCCATTGGAACGGGGGATGGCGAGTTCACCAGAAAACTTGGATCAGCGTCAAGTGTTTTTTCGAGTGCAGTGCAGTGCACTTGGAGGGACCTTGAGACCAGCGCAGCTTCCACCTCTCGAAGAGGTGGAACCACGCGGACCTTGAAATCGATCGCGCGTAAATGATACAAAACGGCGAGACGTTGAAAAACTTCCGAATATATACATATATAGTATATATAATACCCCATAAAGGAGAGAATTTCAGACCGCAGCTGGCATCGTTCGACACGCGAAACAAACGTCTGGTTTGCAACTGGCTTACAAAATGGCGGATTTAGAGCGTGGAAGCAACTCGACCTGATCAACTTCGTTGAGTCATTAACTTTTACGTTTTGTATCTTCCCTTTGATCTCACGTTTTAACGTTCCGTCCATTTGCATCGTAACGAAGAATGAATAATAATTTTTCTTTCAATATATTTAAGTAGAAAATTTTCAAAAGGTAAAACAACAAAAAAAAAAGTCCGGTAACTCTTGATGGCAATAATGGCCATTTTGTAACTTTTCGTGTTTTCTTTGGTATTTTAAATTTTTTTTTTTTTTTTTCTTACATTATCTTCAATAATTTTGAAAACGTGAAATGCTCTTTTTCATTGAATAGTCCTGAAACTAATAGAATTGTTCAGACCAAAAAATACGAATATTCTGGTGATAATGATCACGCCATATATGTTGTTCAGGAAATGTTGTTAACGATGCAAACAGGTTAACGCGACTGGATTAATTCGAACGTGAACTTTGTATCTTGCGATGATTCACGTTCGACGATATTTTCCTTTAACTTCTTCTCTTTTCTTTATATTAGATATTAATACTACTACACACACAAACATATTCCATCGTGTAGCGAAATCTAGCCACCAGTACGTGTCTCTTCAATGATTCATCCGTCACGATAACACAATGATCTAAAAACTGCATTTTTATAGCCAGAAGTGAATTTTTCAAGTTCAATTTTTTTTTTGGCGAAATCTTTCTTCCCGTGAAACAAGGATCGTTCGAAACTCTATTTCGTAAACCGAAATATCATTCATTTGAAATAATTATGTGAACGAGTACAACGCGTCAAAGTCGAAATTTCTGAAAGTGAAAGTGAGGTTAATTACTAATTTAATTACTAATTATAGAATTATAGGTAAATGATTCGTTTTAAATTATTGTTTCACGCGTGTTTCGTGACTGTGTTCAATCGTATATCTATAAAAATATATATTAATCCATGTACAAGCAGAATATTGTTTATAGCAATTCGGACTGTGAGAATGGTTTTGAAAAAATAATTGAGAGTCACTGACACGTCGGACTTGAGTTACGCGAAAGTTTAAACAATTGTTAAGAAGAGCGTAGAAATTTCAAGTGGAACCTTTAAACAGACACGAGTTTTAAGATGTAGAAAGTAGATATTTAAACGACTGGTTACTAAAATAATTTCGGCCACGAAAAGACGGGGGTCTCCAGATCCGGACACGCTTGTTTCGTTCGTTTCGAATCCACTGCGTGGACGAGGTCCATCCAGCCGGTTTTTATACGCGCCAGGCAGGCCAGGTTTCGAAACACCTCCGGGAGATTTAATGAACCGCGCAGCCTTCAATGAAAGACCTAAATGTCAACTAATGTAAACATGTTTCGCATTCAAGATTCTCGGGGCAATTTCCACATCGTATCGCTCACGTTAGCCAAACTTCTCTCCAGAC